GAGTCTGCGTTAATATGTTTATGTTAAAAAATAAACTTGAGGCCTTTGTTAAAATAATTCTTATATGGAAAAAACAGAGTAGAAAGTGGATCGCTCGAATTGTTTCCATTTACTGACGAGTATATAATTAGTAACAATATTTCAAAAAAAAGATACTCCTATAACAAAAATTATAGTTAATCATTTAAAGAATATGGAAGTTTACATGCACAGGTATTTTCTCAATGATATCGATACACAACAATGGATTTGCAATTCATTTTCAATTGAAATGGAAGATTTTCAAACTTAAAAGCACAAGAAGAATTTACCAAATTAACAAGTGATATTGTGACTCAGATTTTTTCAAGTGTATGTGCATGAATTTTGGATTGAAATCAAATCAGAATATTCCCTACTATCGGAAATAGCAATAAACAAATTACTGCCATTTTGTGCAACATATTTATGTGAATCAGCCTCTTCTACATTAACTTACATAAAATCAAAATACCGTTCAACTTTAATATACGTTGAAAATTTATTACAATCTGCACTAACTTAAATTGAGCCTAGATTTAATTATTTGTGTAAAAATAAACAATCACATTCATCACATTAATATTGTTTGATGTTAATAATAGGTTTTCATTAAAAAAATGTTACAACATTTTATTTTTTCTATTGAATATGTAGATATAGTTTTATGTTTTCTTATAAAGAATTTGTTGCAAAAGTTTATTGTTTCTATTGAATAAATAAATAAATAAATATATATATATATATATATATATATATATAGTTTTATGTCAACGTTTCCTATTATATATAACATGAATGGGTACATATTCTTCAATCCTTAATTTATTTACATTGTAAAATAGTGCGATAACGGTTAATATATATTTTATTATTTGGAGGAGGGGGTCGTTTAAAATTTCCTAAGCTTGAAGGGGGTCGCTATATAAAAAAGTTTAAGAAGCCCTGCTTTAGATCATTCAAATCGGATGCTCTGTTCTCTCAAAAACTCGATTTATATTTTCTGCATACTTTGCTCCTTATCTCCGTAACTGCTGGACCTGCCTTTGTTAAAAACTAATCAGCACATCTCCTTATCAATAAGAATCGAATGTTTTTTAAACCATTCAAATCGGTTGATCCGTACGCCCGAAAACGTGGGCGAAAATTTGTATCCATACATACATACACACACACACACACACACATCCATTTTTTCTGAAACCTTCAAAACGTCGAGAAATGTAAAAATTTTCAATTCCGATTTTTGGCCCATTACAATAACTTACCCTACGGGAAGTTAATATAAATATAAATATAAATATAAATATAAATATAAATATAAATATAAATATAAATATAAATATAAATATAATATAAATATAAATATAAATATAAATATAAATATAGTTTATAGTTTATAGTTTATAGTTTATAGTTTATAGTTTATAGTTTATAGTTTATAGTTTATAGTTTATAGTTTATAGTTTATAGTTTATAGTTTATAGTTTATAGTTTATAGTTTATAGTTTATAGTTTGGTGAAAAGTCTCAGACAAAGAAATTTCACCTCTAAACGCTTTATTGTACGTTACATAATCATGAACATTACCACTCAACTTCTGAGTGACTTTGAACATGGGTAACGCGTATTTAAGCTAAAATATGAACAAACAAAACAAAAAATTAAACATATATATCGGAGATCATGAAACCGCAAGTGACGCGATCCGAGTTCATCCCAAGTCTGAAATGAAAAGAAAAAAAATTAGATATGTTCAGTTGAGACCAACTGAAACATTTTAGATAATCAATGCATGTTTTCAGAATAAACAACTTTTCATCAACGTTTGCTCAAAAACGCCTGAACCGATTTCACAAATTTAAAAACCATTCGATGTATCTCGATGAGGATTATCGTTTCGCAGTTTTGAGCGACGATCGGCCGAGCCGATTCTTTGTAATTTGGAAAAAAATGTTGAACTTTTATATTTTTTTACTGTTGAACTTTTATGTTTTTTAGAACATTCAAATCGGATGCTCCGTTCTCTCAAAAACTATTTCTATTTTCTGCACTCTTTGCTCTTTATCTCCGTAACTGCTGGACCTGCCTTTGCCAAAAACTAATCAACTCTTCTCCCTATCAATAGGAATCGAATGTTTTTTGAACCATTCAAATCGGTTAATCCGTGCGCCCGAAAACGTGACTGGAAATTTGTATCCATATATACATACACACACACACACATCCATTTTTTCTGAGGTATGCCAAAATGTTCAGAAACCTTCAAAACGTCGAGAAATGTAAAAATTTTCAATTTCGATTTTTGGACGATTACAATAACTTATCCTACGGGAACTTAAAAAATCAAAAACTATTCGAAAGATATTAGTTGGAATGATACTGATTAGTTTTAGGTCAAAATCTACCGTTTTCTTGTAATTAACTGTTGAAAATAAATTTAAGACGATTTTTATGGCGATATATATCATGGTTTTATAGAACTTACTGAAATATTATGGTCATACGACAATTAGTATAATTTTAAAAATTTATCGAAGTTTGAGAAAATGAGTAGTTTTTTTGACGTTTGTTAAAATATAAATTAGAAGATTTACTTAGTATAACTATAGAGTACTTGGTTTTAATGAACATACTAAACCATTAAAGTCCAACGGAAACTGATTCAATTATAAAAATGATTGATTTGTGATAATTTGCTTTTTGAAAATACTCCGAGTTAACGTGTTCGTTCGTTTCCAATTACGTGCAATAAATCCACTGGGAATACTTTTAATCACTCATAAATTAATTTATTGTTTATTGATTATGTCGATTGTCACACATATCGAGACGTTAATGTAACTTGCCTCAAGGAAAAATGCCAATACCGACTAGTTTTTTTTTATTGTTTCAACTACTTTATTTTGTTTCATAAAAATCAGTTTTTATTCTGATCGTTTGCTATAATTCGTATACGATCATACTAGCCTCTACCTAATTTAAATGTTTTTTGAAAAATCGATTTACAAAAATTAATTATCAAACCAAAATTTTCAATATTACTTTCAGGTATGTCATTATTGTATCTATAGAATATAAAGAACACAATTGAATTGTATTTGAAGTAATCACATATATTCAATATTTTGTGTTCGTTCGTCATTAATAACGTTTCACTTTGCTGATTGTGATGACATTTGGTTGGATATTAACAATATTACATATTGCTTTGCTACATAATATCATGATTAATGAAATTAATAAGCTTATTCCCTGATCGGATGCAACAATTAATGCAAATTGCATGCTTTAATAATATCTCTATTAGCATAATGAAACATACAGAGCGAAGCGATAACATACTCAACTTTTGATAATAATAATGTTGTTCAAAACTTTGTTATTGTTTTGTGTACCCAGGTAAACAAATCGCAGTACTTTCATTTATGTAATTTTAGTATCCATTCACATCTAATGTATACAGGACTTTTTTTTAGTAAAAACGAATTGTTCGAGCCTCACAAATTCTATTCATCTATCTTTGTCTACCTGACATAATAAAATAATTTCCTACCCTAGTATAGGTAGCTAAGAAATGATTCATTCTGTACGTATACCTTGATTCGATAACATCTAATACAATTTACTAAAATTAAATACATTACATTTCTACAAACAATTCTGAACTAGTTATTATTTTCCATTCAGTTTTATGTTATTTCAGGTCTGATATGGCATTTTTTAATAATTAATTATATCTGGTCCTTCGAGGTAATAAAGTGTCCGTGTGTAGTGATTTTTTAATTGACTTTTAATAAACATTGTGCCGGGCGTCTTCACGAATTTTAATCGAAAATTTAGTCCAATTCAGGCGGTAGCATTAAAATAGTTCAACAAAAGAAATAATATTATAATTCTCATAATATTATTAGAAAATTCTTAGTTATATACACAAAATATCACTAAATAAAAAATATATAGAACGTAGTTTTCAACAATATTAATTTCTGTTCATGAAAATTGCAGTTCTTGTTCATGTACTTCAATTATCAAATGGAAGAAGTTTTCTTATTTCTAATTTTCGAAAATAGATTGAATTGAAATAAAATTCAAATGCCGTTGCTGGTATAATAAATATTTGGAAATAATTTAGATCTGATTATCCTGACCCTGAGCTGATTTAACTTAAAACTAGTCTGACAGATGGCAACCCAATCAGTTGTCACATCTCTTTATGATATATATTATTATTACAATTTCTGTAATAGGGCGAGTATTTTTATCTATATTATAAATATTGTTAATTTGAAACTAATTATTGTTTCACACTTTCAACACATGCAATATATTTTTCGAATCATTCTAATCGGATGATCAGTTCTTTCAAAACCTGCATTACCAAATTGATTGAAACTTCAGTAGACTTTCAGCCCTATTTTACCCTCGACAACGTCGTGCCAGTTTACTTTTCTTCTCAGGATTGTGCTCAGTAATCAGTCAGATAATTGTTTTTTGATATGTGTTATTTGTTGTGATATAATTGGTTTGGTTTTCACAATATAATTGCTCAAAGTCAAATTGGTCTTTCGTGCCCCGCCCTACCTTATGTCATTTTCAAATACTTATAGGTATTTGCAAAGATAAAAGAAGAGTATATGAGTATTTGTAATTTTAATATCAAGTACTTTTGTACTTTATATACTTTTTATACTTTACAATTTGTACTTTTTGGGACAAAGGAGATAAATCCAATAAAAATATTGCTTTTAGAAAAACCCGGAACACAAGGTGGAAATCCGGGATGTAATCCAGACGTAAACTTGGCACCGGCTCACTAGCGCCAAATTATCGCCTAGACTCGATACACGAAACACGCCATAGATTGGATAAATAAGTGAACGCGGGACCTGTTACAACTTGTTCAACTGGGTACAACTTCGCACCGATGTTATAAGATAAGAGCTTCTTTATCTTCGGGGATTTTTGTAATACGTGTAAAAACATTTTAAACGAAAGCAATTTATTTATGCAATTGTGTAGTAGATTTAATAATTAATTGTTTCTTAATCATTATCAAATATAATTTTTCAATAAAGATTTTAATAGTATAAAATATTTGTTCACAATAATGTTAGTACTGTGTGCGATTTGCAATGAATTACTTGAAAGTTCAGTGGAAATATTTATTACTAATTGCGGACATGTATTTCACTACAAATGTCTTTCCCAGTGGCTTCCGAGGTACAATTCTTTCCAATTATCTTTTAAAGTACATTAGGCTAACCTATGGCTAACCTCAAACTTGTAGTTTTTAATTCATTTTTTAATTCATTTTGTAAGTTAGTACTTGATTTATAAATTTTGTAGATCTCCAACTTGTCCTGAGTGCCGTCGTAGAACTACACCATCTACCATACAGAAAATTTACTTTAACATTTGTGCAAACAGATCTCTTCTCGAAGAACCTGCTGTGTTACAAGAACAACTATCAGATGCAAATTAAGGATCACTGATCTTGAAAAATCTCTTGAATATTCCAATGATACAGTATTTATTAAATATGTTTATATATATTCTTATTTATGTAAATTATCAATATTTTATCAATTCATATTGAGCCAATACTTTTACTAAGTCACGATATTTCTGTAATATTTATTTTTCATTATTTTTCTGATACAATTGTTTTAAAAGTAATATAATTTTAAACTTTTTTTTGTGAAAATAACTAATATTTTATATTGCAGTTGAAATCATCTGAAAAAAAAGTTTTGAAACTCGAAAAAAAACTGACTAAAACAAGTGCAGCTTTTGATACAATGAAGTATCAATACAATTACTTCAAAGATCAAATGAAGGAATTATCGGAGCTAAGAGAACAGATACAAAAAATGCAAGAAAAAGTGCAGTCCTTGGAAAAGTTAGTGCATTGAACATAAGTTTCTCATTGTAATAAATAATGGTGAAATATACCATGATATCCTCAAGTAATCTTTTTTTCATTATAGAGTTGACCTACTATTAAAATCAACTTGCAAAGAAGTGGATGCAATGCTTTCTAATAATACGAGTGTTGCAGATTTGGCTAGTTTTGTATCTACACTCAAGAGGTGAAGAATTGTTATTATCAATATTAAAAATTGGGTAGGGCGAGGCACAGAGGTCCAATTTGACTTTGAGCTATTATAATGTGATAACCAAACCAATTATGTAACAACAAATAACACATATCAAACAAACAACAATCTGAAAATGTTCAGTAAAACTCCCAACTAATTCATCATCATAGAAATATTATTTGCAGAAATGCTGTTTTTCAAAAATTTTGTCACCTGGTACTTTTTACCATATGGGCAGGGTATAATGGGACGCCAGGGGACAATCGGGCCCAATGTCTTGACAAAATAATTGCTACATTATTCCACTAATGCAAAATATCAATTTTACATTTTTAGATCTGGCATTTGATCAGAAATATTCATCAGCAGAGTTGGAATCACTATTTATTTAATTTATCTGTTGTGAGATTGCTTTTTTCAACTCGATATAATTTTTTATTTACTATTTTTTATTGTTTACATTTTGCAAAGGTAAAGATTTAGTTGGTCCTTTTCACAACACCAACGTGCAAGTTGTTATAGAGGTTGTATAAAAAAACTGTTGAATCTAACTTAAAATTGACAATATATCTCATAAAAGAATTGTATAACGCATACTTAAATATTATATTAAGGTCATGAAAACTAAACATCCCTGCTCACAACTCACAAATAAGCTAACCACGAAAGAATATACTTTTTTAGGAATTTCCGAAACATTGCCATTTTTCTCCCGATAGCAATGTCATATGATGTCGATAGACATTGATGACTGGTTATACATCTTCTTCCCTCTACTTTCAAATATTGTTAAAAAATTGTTAATTGAGAATGTATTTTAAATAGCATATTTTAAAAATTTAGCAAACTCACCTCAAGTGAAGAAAAGCAAAACAACTTAAAACTTGGGTATCAAAAATTGCAACTAGAAGTTATTAAATATAAAACCCAGTGTATTCGATTCAAAGAGAAACTTGAAATGCATAGGTAAATTGATGTATAGTTTATATAGATTTTTATATGTATTTTAGAAAATGTGTTTTAAAAAGATGTCTTTGAAATATTTAAGCAACGATCAAGAAAAATTCATTGATTTACACAGGGAAAAGTCAAATCTGTTGGAACGTATTGCAGAATTAGAATCCATAGTTGAACTTAACAAAAGTACACCACCCAAAACTGTAAGTAATTTTATGATGTGTACAATTATACACAACTCTAATTTTTATCTTTTAACTGAATGGCAAAACTATATTTGAACCGCTTTTCACAAAAATGGAAAACCTTACATTTGAAAATGATTTCAAATACATTTTGTTATTGTGTATATCTGTATCGTGAATAATATGTATATAAATTCACACAGAAGGTACTAAACAACTCAAATAAAAGTCCGGATTCTCCATATTTACAAGTTCAATCTAGCAGTTATGGAATGATGCCACTAAGAACTTTATCAAATAATATCCCCTTAGAAGCAAAGAGGAAACTCGCAACAGATAATAATCAAGTAATTAATTTTATTAGTCAAACTATATTGTTCTATTATATTAAAATTATTTGTTCTTCATTTTAGTATTCCATATTCAAGAAATCTCGTCTAAATAAATGTCAAACTATGGCATCTCTTTATTCCCAAAATTTAAACAAAAAGTGGAAGGAGTTTTAGTGATGATTGTCACAATGCTAATTTGTGGTATTCTTTTGAAGATCATGATTACGTTTTTATGAATTAATATTGAAATGTGATACTAATTTTAGTTAAATATAATGAATTTTTTTAATATAATTGTTTTAATATATTATAAACTAGTGGTGCATGGCATTGTGCTTTAATGCAAATTGCAGAAACTTTTCGTACCATAATTGGACATTTAAAAAATAAAAATAATCAATAATTAAGAAAACCTGATTAATGATTGATAACAATTGTTTTAAATGTTCTCACATATATTTCATATAAATACTGTAGAACTCATTTTTCATATTTTATGTAGAAAATGTAAAAGCTTATGAATAAGTAAACAACGACGTTTATATATCTTTACAAGAAAAGTAAAACAACCGCATCAATTCGATTTAGAACTAGTGGTGTATGGCATCGTGCCTTAAGGGAAATTGCTGGAACTTCCCGTACCAGAATTATATATTCGAGGAAAAAATATCAGTAATCAATAAAAATTGATCAATGAATTACAATAATTGTTTTATACATTTTCAAATAGATAATTATAATCACTATATATTTTATTGTTCATAAAATATACAGTGACGATCTTATCGCTCAATGCACTTGAGAAAGTTTACATTAGCAGGATGTGCCAAATAAATCCATCTGAGAAAATATTTCCTACAGTTAGAATAACGTATTTAAAATATATGCGTTTTGAAACTGAATTGTAAATTTAAAATTCATATTTGAAGTATAAAAGTTCTGTGAATTTTTTGGAGAATTTTGAATTTTTTTTTTCGGAAAATTTTGAAATTTGCTTGAACTGTATAAGTAAACTTTTAAAATGAAAAATCTTGGTACGGATCCCAACAAAATTATAGCAAAAAATTAGTACTCATTTTTAAAAACTTCATCAAATATCTGATAATTTGATGTGCATACGTGTTTTGTGTTTTGTGAACATTGGCTCAAAGAATCCGAACTTCAGTTGGTCAAACTAAAAGGTTTACATTTGCAGTCCTACTTCTGTTGACGAAATTTTTCTCATGGCTGTGTTTGCGATAGGTAAAAAAAAAGATTTTTACCTTAGATCGATATGCCTGTAAACCAATTTGGGCAACGAATAGTTGTGTTGAAAAAATACTCGAGTATATTCATTTTAATATAAAATACAAATTGTTAGATGATTTTAAGATCTCAATTGAATCATTTAATCTGATTCAGACTATTCTTACTCCAACTCGTGTAACTCCACAATCGGCCTCGTGTATCCCCGAAGAAGTTTGTTTTCATAAAAAAAAACCGATTCGCTAATTTTATGTTTTCTCGACGTTTCAAGCCATTCTGAATAGAATGAGACCAAATTTGGAAAAAGTATATGTGTGTATATGTAATATGTGTGTGTGTGTGTGTATGTGAACAGATTTTTTGCCCTAAATCGACGTTTTCTCGAAAATTTAAAAGCCATTCGATGTATCTCGACGAGGACTATCGTTTGTCAGTTTTGTGGGACGATCGGCCGAGACGTTTCTTTATAAATAGCAGAAAAGTGAAAAAAAAATTGTCCACGTTTTAGTCCGCAATTCTGAGCCGATTATGAAAATTCAAAAACCGTTCGAAAGATATTGATTAGGAATCGAGCTGATTAGTTTTTGGCAAAGATCGGCCGGCCCGTTTTTTTGTAATGAAGTGTTAAAAAATTTTTTTCGACGATTTTTATTATTATTTTTTTAACTGTAGATACTATAGTCTTCTAGATCATACTAAAATATTACGGCCCTACGACAATTGGTTTCACTTTGAAAATTCGTCAAAGTTTGCAAAAATTGGTATCGTTTTTTTGGCATTTGTCAAAATTAGACCTTTCATCGACGTTTTCTCAAAAACGCCTGAACCGATTTCCGAAATTTAAAAGCGATTTGATGTATTTCGATGAGGACTATCGTTTGTCAGCTTTGTGCGACGATCTGCCAAGCCGTTCTTTGTAATTTGAAACAAAGTGTTAAACTTTTCGTCCACATTTAAGCTCATCCTACCGAACCGATTTTAAAAAATCAAAAACTGTTCGAAAGATATTAGTTGGGAATGGTACTGATTAGTTTTAGGTAAAAATCTACCGAGCCGTTTTTTTGTAATTAACTGTAGAAAAAAAATTTAAGCCGATTTTTATGGATTTTTTTTAGCGATATATATCATGGGCTTATAGAACTTACTATAATATTACGGCCTTACGACAAGTAGTTTAATTTTTAAAATTCATCAAAATTTGAGAAAATTGATAGTTTTTTTGGCGTTTTTTAACTTCCCGTAGGGTAAGTTATTGTAATGGGCCGAAAATCCAAATTGAAAATGTTTACATTTCTTGGCGTTTTGAAGGTTTTTGAACATTTTGGCATACCTCAGAAAAAATGAATGTGTGTGTGTGTGTGTGTATGTATGAATGGATACAATTTTACGTCCACGTTTTCGGGCGCACGGATCAACCGATTTGAATGGTTCAAAAAACATTTGATTCATATTGATAGGAAGATGTGCTGATTAGTTTTTTGGCAAAGGCAGGTCCAACCGTTACGGAGATACGGAGCAAATAGTGCAGAAACTAGAAATCGAGTTTTTGAGTGAACGGAGCATCCGATTTGAATGATCTAAAAAACATTCAATTATCATTACTATAGTAATGATTATATTTTAATAATTATATTACTATAGTAATGATTGGGAGAAGTTATTATTACTTTTGGACAATGGCAGGCCCAGCCATTTCGAAGACACAGAGCTAAATGTGCAAAAAATGGCAGTTTTTGAAGGAACTAAGCGTCCGATTTGAAGAAACGTCGTTAAAGATAAAATGGTGGCTCCCATACACACGTTATTTTTATAAATTTGCTCTCAATCGATTCAAAAGGACTTGAAAGGTCGAGAAAACAAAAGTGGAAAATTGGAAATTGATGTATGTTGCTAACGAAATAATAAATTAAGGAATTGTCTAAGAACGGAATTTTGAAGGTTTTTGAATTTGCAAAAATTGTATTTCTGTTATTGAAAAGTAATCATTGCGATTTTCTATTAATACTAAAAATGGGTTATATGCCTCAAGCTTTAAAGACTTCCATGATTTTTTATAATTAATCCACTTTAATGCGCTTAGGTTAGATTTTAGGATGTTCATCAAAACATAAACTATATCACTGTCCAGAATGTTTTTTGTTAACATGACCAAAATAAATGTGTCAATCAATTATGAGAAAATGGCACTGCGAATGTTCACTAAAAATTAATCACCTTGATTTTAAACTGGTATTTATCGAACTGTTTTAAAATTAAAAAAATCGATAGGTACAGGATTTATGAAAACATCGATAAAATGTAAAATGGCGGCTCACAGACACACACAAACGAAACTCCTATTGCTCCATTATCAAAACTACGATTTTTGCAACAAAACAACACTTTAGAATGTATTATAACAGTTTATGATATATTCTTTTACTTACCATTTTATTAGCAAACTCCTTCTGAATTGAGAATCAAGTTCAATATTCACTCACATTTGTTAGCTGATTTTTACTCTTTATAACATCAAAAGTTCTTTACTAAATGTTTCTCTTTTTGACAGTTCTCGGCTGGGGTTGTATAAATTATATAATTTATTAACACTAATACACCGTAATAATTCAAATTATCACACTTACTAATAATATATAGTGACTAATAATAAATAATTATCAGCATTAAACTTATTACAATTATTTAATGAAAACAGTTAGCAAACGTTTTTGATAAAATCACACCCGACTCCCAACCCACGCCATTCTAAAAGAACCCATTGCAAAATCAAAACAAACCGACCGAGAACCGGCGACTCCACCCGAACGCCACGAGTGCGTATCGATAACTGAATTTGCAACATTTTCAAATTTTATTGTTCTGATTAGGTGTTGCCATATGCGATAATAAATCCAATACACGATGTCATAGAATAAATAAATTTATTTTCCATAATTTATGTATCAAAGGCAAAAGATAAAAGTAAAAAATTACACAATCCTCAAAAACAGCTAATGTTATTACTTTGTTTTTGATTATGTTTCGGATGTAAATAGTCATATTTCTAGGAATAGTAACTATAATATTTATTTTTTTCAGTTCAGTATAAATTTACTGTACCTCGAATCTGTAGATTTAGTGAAAACAAGTAAGTTGAAAACAAAACAATTAGAATAATGCAAAACCATAAAATTATACAAAATAAATGTTTATTGTATAAAAGTTGTTTTTGTTGATTTTTGACGGCTTCTGAACGTATCTAAACTTAACACTGCTATGAGCTATTACCAACGTAATAGTTAGTCTAGCCAGCTATATTTGATATGATTTTATCAGAACTTTAAATATTACATATGATATGTTTTATTTTTAATTGTTTCACCATATTATGTCAATCTCCAACACAACTGTATTACTTAAGTTATTATATTTTGTTATTTATACTGTACTGTATCTGTGTTTAATGTCTTGAACTTGTCAATGTAGATAAACATTATTTAATGTGTCATATGTGTCAACTGTCAAATTTACTTATGGTGAGTGTAAATCTAAAAGAGTGTATATTAATATTGTCAAATTAAAAATGCAAGTTGTTAAAATTTGGGTTATTAATCAAACTTACTTACACTATAATATATCTGAAATATATATGACTAATTAAAAAAAAATATTTACTTAAGATTTGTTATTTATTACTCGATATGGGCAAAAAGTTTTTGACACGAAATACTGAGAATTATTATCCGACTGAGAGATATTATTTTGAAATGAAAATTAATTGTCATTTTTTATTATTGAACACAATCTTCAAATACCGTCAATGTAATATCTTGTGCAACGATATTTTTGCTTTGAACTTAACAATGCAGAAAGGCATTGTTTAATATGTCATATGTGTCAAAATTTTCCATGGTGAGTGAAAATCTAAAAAGAGTGTGTATTATGTGTGT